ATATGTACTGCATTTGACTTGCATATATCTGGCATATGTACTGCATTTGACTTGCATACACAATGTATGTCTGGCATATGTACTGCATTTTACTTGCACATGTCTGGCATATGTACTGCATTTGACTTGCATATATCTGGCATGTGCACTGCATTTGACTTGCAAGTGTCTGGCATGTGCACTGCATTTGACTTGCATGTGCACTGCATTTAAATTGCATGTGTCTGGCATGTGCACTGCATTAAATTGCATGTGTCTGGCATGTGCACTACATTTGAATTGCATGTGTCTGGCATGTGCACTACATTTGAATTGCACGTTTCTGGCATGTGCACTGCACATGTCTTGCATTTGTCTAACATGAGTCATGCATGTGTCTCACTATCATTAAAACCATACGCCATCGATATATATTTTGATGTTGATAATTTTTGACTATTTACAGAATTTATTGATCTATTTAATTTGTTTCAATTTATATTATGTGTTTATACAAATGTAGATGTTACGCATAATTTATTATGCTCCAGCTTATATGGAAATTAATCAATCCTCTCTATGATTAATTGTAGTATGCAGTCACTGATTGGATGACCTCCTTTTTGGAAGGTGCCATAATATTGCATTCCCTGTTTGAAGTTGAATCGTAGTTTTGCGTTTTTGTAGTCTGCAGCCAACTCCTTGGATCAGTTTCTTCTATTTAAGCAACATTTGTGCTTTTATGAAATTCTACAACTCTGTAACTACCAGAAGTTTACACTTGTAAATACATTTGAAGTGTTTCAGCGATAAATGGAGTTTATATTGGAATATTTAAAGTGATTGATGAGTTACTATTTTAAATTTCAGGTCGTGATGTTGAAGTCCTGTATCATGTTGGAATGTGGCAGACCAAACCCAATGAAACTCACATTCACCTTGCATGTGACTAAACTCAGAAAACATCAACACTAAGTATCTGGAGTTCACAATAACCTGATGTCAGATTCCATCTGATGATGTACATGTGAATACATATATGTTGGTGATTATTTGAGGTTGGCAGAATGATTAGTATGGGTTCATGCCATCAGGATACAGAAAAACAATTATTGAGAAACAAGAGTCCAAAATACCATCTGCATTCTATCTTAGATTTTGCATTGGTTTATATGATGAGAGTACCGGTATTTCTTCTTATTTAGAAATGTTAACTTGTTAATATTGTAATATTTTATTTTTTGACATTTAATTCAATTTATATGTTTAATTATTTTAGATGGCAAGTTATCTCCCATAATGCATTTCACATATGCTCAGTCGTGCAAAACTTGAATTTCTCTCCCATAATGCATTTCACATATGCTCGGTAGTGCAAAACTTGAATTTCTTTCCCATAATGCATTGCAAATATGCTTAGTAACACGCTCAGTAGTGCAAAATTTCACATATGCTCAGTCGTGCAAAACTTGAATTACTCTCCCATAATGCATTTCACATATGCTCGGTAGTGCAAAACTTGAATTTAAATCCCATAATGCATTGCAAATATGCTTAGTAACACGCTCAATAGTGCGAAATTTGGACTTCAACTATCATTCACTGAAAATACAGCTATAACCATATGGTTATTAATTACGGTCCAAAAGATTACACCAATAAAAAGTTCAAAGGTGCAATATTATCAGTAAATTACTGCGCTGTCGAGGGCCATATGGTACATAATCTTTTTTGTTTACAGTAAATGTTTGATCTCTGCTTTTAATAGCATATCATATGGCATGGTATAAATTGTATTTAACGCTAATTTGCATAAAAATAGCTCAGAATTGCAGTTGTATTGAATTCAGGTTACAATTTTCTTGCATATTCTGCGAGAAATAACATTTGGATTAACCATTTGAGATAAAATGTTAATTTTTTTCACGTTTTATAAAAAATAACCTGCATAATATTTCAAATTGTTTTCAAAATTGTGAACATGACCTGCTAGCGAAATAGGAAATTATGTCCATTTGAACCATAATCACCAAAAACATGATAGGAAAGTGCAAAAAGATGTGAAACCAAAAAAATATCAAAGGGTTGTTGAAGGAGCCTCCAAATTTATTGATTTATTTTTCCTGTAAACATTTTGGACTTTTTTTTTATCCATTTTAGAATCAAATGAGCCTAATTTCACATTGGTGAAAGGTGGGTGGAAAGGGTGCGACACCCTTTTGGATGTTTTTTACAAAAATGTTTACTCTTCTCAGATTATGTTTCTTTTTTTAACATGGGGTAGGAATTAATTATATTTTCTGACAGAAAAAAACATTTTTCATTGCTTTAAAATTATGATTCCAGTAATAATTACTATAGTTGTAGACTCCAAAATGGATCCAAATTGGAGGTACATGTACATACATGTATGTATACCACATTCAGATGATAGTTTGAAGTCTATTAGAAGCCGCATTCCTTCTGTTGCATTACAACATTTTAAAAGAAGCCATGACTTCTAATACAAATTTCACAGTAATATTAGCTTCTGTTCCAGCAATACAACTGATCATCATGAGACACCGATAAAGTCACAACACTTCAACTCTTTTTTTTAAAAGGTAATGTATTGAGGCCACTGATATAAAAATTGCAATTTCCAGCTTAAATATTAAATAAATAATAAAAATAATTTGTCTTCCATTACCAAAGAAACGAAAAGTGAAAACACATCACGACATCAATTTGGGAAAAAAAATTAAATACTTCATGACTTTCAATAAATGATAAGATTTTACTCATATTTATATAAAAAAAGAATACCTTCGTCTGCAGATGCATCCCCAATTTCTCTTGTCAAATATTCTTCAGAGCTCCATTTTGACAATCCTGCATTTATCTCTCCGCTCACGTCTTCTGTTTGAAAAGAAATTCATCAAGAGCTAAATTTATTATCACCACACATAGCAACATACAGTACCTACAACCGGTAAGTACGATTGTATTGATTTATATTACAATTTCTTAAAGATCTATCGTAGTTTGTAGAATCTCTCACGTTGACAACATTTTCATGACAGGTCTGTTCTGTCATGCCCTCTATAGTTGTCACTGCATTTTTGAGGTGATAAATATGCTAATGAATACGTGTAGCTTGACTAATTGCTATGGTTGGGCCAGTCTAGGTTCAAGTGTAACCCTTTGAGTGGCAAAGTTTGTGACATGACAATGCGACATTACATCTAGTTTTGGATCACAAAAGTTGAGATTTTCGTCAACATTTGTTTGGAAAAAAGCAGTTTTTGGATGGTGCCTGAAGTTGGCTGTGGTGCTCAGAGAGGTAAAGCTAGTTTACATGTAGCTTGCATTTGAAACTGCCACATATCTAAATTGTGCAATGTAATCTACCCTCGTAGGGTAAATACTCATAAATAAGTTGAAATTATTGATGACAATGATACTCGCTTTTTATGAAAAGACAAAGACCTTTTTTCTGTTCACTGCGCAATCCTGTGCTATGTGTAAACTCAAATTTAAAAATAGGGCAAAGGTCATAGTACCGTAGTAGTGACAAAACATTGTGCGAGTTTCCACGCATAACAATACACTATTCACATTTGATGGTCAACTTTGATGAAGTAAAGAACGTCTCAATGTAATATATCTCTCTGAAAGATTGCCATTTTGATATTGAGCTTTAAAATAATGAAATTCATGTTTAAAAACAATCATTTTTGTGTCTTTTCACGTATTACTACGTGAGATCTCACAGTGAACAGTAAATCACATATTCAGGAAATTTTATCTTTCATAGAATTACTGTCAAATATTTTATTTTAGCTGGAGTTAATTTTTCGCTAAAAATACTATTTGGGTGTTTTATGGGAATTTATTTTCACTGATTTTTGACAAGTTGAATGTAAAATATAGAAAAAAAGGTATATTCGCTGGATTTTAATTTCATTGAATCATTCCTTCAGGGAAAATAGAGAAAATTAATTCCAAGCGAAAATAAAGTATTTTACAGTAACTTTTATACAATATTCTCAATGACACATGTGCCACTATTTTCTTTTCATTTTCAAAATTATTTTTTGAACTAGCTTAGCAGTGCCTAAAGGGATAGATCAATATTAACCCAAAAACGCATCAGATAGAAATATTACCATGGTTACACATATTGCATTACTATATCAATATTGTACGTTCTCGTTGACAGCACCGAGTTATAGAACCTCTTGACTGAATACACCTAGGAAAATTGTCAGCAATTACTATAAAATGAATTCTGAATACGAGTTCACATTAAATGCCATAGTACCCTATTTTATTATATTTTTACTATCTATTTTTACTACTTTATTTTTTCAGAATTAGATGAATTATGGTTTTTATAACTATTTTTAAATACAAATTTTAAAAAAAAATCATAAAAATGTGTGTGTGCGTATTCATTAGACTGTTTTTATGACACTGCATTAGCTGTTCTCACGATTTATCTCATTTTTTGTCATAACATTATTTAGTTGCATTTTGATGTTGTTAGTTTCAGTTGCCATCTTGCTTTAATAGATTCCTTGTCTAATGTTTTCGGCAATTGTTTTATCAGATTATTGTTAAAACACCTCCTTTCCCATTTATACCCCAAGATAACATCTACTTTCAGTGTATTTAGTATAATTCTCAGTAGTATGAAAAAAAAATAATAAAAACAGATACTTAAACAAATTGATGAAATATTTAAAAACTTACAAACAATGCTAAAAAAAACAGAGTCAGAAATAGTAAAGAATAGATAAAAAGTAATTATTTTTTTTCAGAATTGTATCGAGTTATAAGCTTGCTTAATGTACTGGTTTATTTTTTGAAAACAATCATGCCATCTGTGCACTTAATCTAAATTGGATGGAAAACACAAGCAAAGCAAAATGTGATATTTTGAAGCAAGATAGGGGGCCAATAATATGTTGCAACATACCGGTACATGTATACACTACTGTGGAAACTTGTAATGCGTATATATAGAACTGTAAGTGTGTCGTTCACAGGCAGCTAAAGGGTCTAGTGATATACAATAGTCCTGACATCACAAGACAAAAATAAGTACATGTAGCCTTGGTTCAGCTGTTCCTACTAGGGGTAATCTAGTTTGAAACACTGTTAACTAATTTGGATCAAAGTATAGTCAGGTGGTTTTGAACTAACTAATCAGGATTAACTAACACGGTTTATTGTTCTGTCGGAGACTGCAAACTGAATTTGATTCAAATTGAATCCGCTCCATCATTCAGTGATCACTAGCTACATGCTCACAGTTTTGACGGTGTTACAATCTTCTCAATATTGTTCGTCATAAATAAAGTGAAGGTTACATCAGTATTTTGCGTTGGTTACTGGGGCAGCTACAGACGTATTGTGCACACGTACTGTTACGCATATATTAACATTTGGTGTTCAAATACATTAAGCTGAATACTGTAGACAACATTTTTTTTTTCACAATGCTAACTGTGAATCCGATATCAGTTTTACCGTGACAGACGAGTTCACTTGGTCTTAAGGGAAAATGAAACATTCAAGTTAAATGATTCAATCAAAACATCAAGACTGAATTAGGATCTATGAAGTTAAACGACTGAATTTATCGGAGTTGACCAATAAAAAACTGGTGATGGTGGCTTTGAGCCAAAAATTAATCTGCACAGAGATAGACTTGGAAATATGGGAGGAAAATGAGAAAAAAGCAATATTTATAAAAAAATCCACACACATAATAGATATTGGAAATAAAAACAAATTTATAGCAATGTCATCGTGAAATCCCAATAATCTAGCTCAAAACCTCTGAATTGGCAAACGACTAGTATTAAGAACACTTTGACTACTAGGTTCAAACGTAGCATTATTTAATCTTTCTGAATTTAACTAACACACTGCATTTGTGGGGACAGCAAGCGTATTCAAATCCAAATCAATACATGTATAACTTTTGGAGATTATAGTGGGAGAAAAAGTGGTAAACCAAAGTGAATTAAGACAGAAGACGACTAGAGAACACACTAATATACCTATGTTGTAATAAGGAAGCTATTTAAAAGGAAATTAGTCGGCTAATTATTACAACATTACAGATTGAGTGAATAAAACATGTTTTGCTATTCAGACAGCTAGGGAGCCCAGTAATATACTATCTTGCGATATGGATGATATGGAAGGCAGTTAGGGGGGCTTGTATGATACAACATTATACACATGATATTCCATTTAAGGCAGCTAGGAAGGTCAGTAATTACTATATTGTAATATGGATACAACAGAAGGTAGCAATTCTGAAGGAAGTTAGGGGGGCAGTTTGCATTACCTTGGGCATCATAGAATTCATCTTCTCCAGAACTATCTGATTCCCGAACTATGGAGTTCATACGCCACTGCGATATATCAGTGAGTGGGGATCCTGTAAAGAAAACAATAGGCATTGTAGTCAGTCAAGTAGAAGCATATCTCAGTACATGGAAGCAACGAATTGAACAAGTTTAAAGGGACACATTACCTATCAGCAAGAAAAACAACAACAGGCAATTGACAATATAAACAATTACAGTGAAAATTGACAGGATCTGCAAACTAAACCGCTTCACATTTTTTCTGATCTTCTTGCTTTTAAGTTACATTGTACCTAGCACATTATTATATCTCTGGAAGCATAGAAAATAGGGTACATGTATGTAGAAGCAATTTTTTATTTTATGCTTATGGTGCTATGAATGTTAGCCAACACTGCCATATAGAAGTATTTTTCAAAAAGAATCATTTTGATTTGAAGAACTGAATAAGCAGCTTTCACCAGGGTCCTATGGAATCACAGTAACTTTTTAGAGTCCTAGAGAGTAACAGTCACTTTCAGCAGGGTCTTAGGAGGTCACAGTGACTTTCACTGAAGTGCTAGGGATTCACAGTGACTTTCCCTGCGATCTTAGGGAGTCAAAAAATGTTTTTTATTTCAAATTATCAAATCAAGGAAATTGATGGCACTGTACATATTTCTAACCAATAGCATCACTGAATACAGTCGACTATGACAAGTCAAGTTTATTTACTTCTTTATGAATGTTACATAACAAAATCCGATAACAAGTAGTCAATTGACAAGTTTTGATTGATATCCACCATTTTTTAAGAAACCTGTATGCTCCAGCGTAAAAAAATTCCTATTTTGTCTGTATAATCATTCAGTAGCTCATTAGAACACCCAGAATCAAGAAAACCAGCAAACAAATAGACCATTTTCTGTTGACTGTAAGGTCCTGCGTTATGCGTGAAATAGAATGAAAAAACAGGACGAACAAAGGTCATAGTGGCTTCCGAACAGCACATAGAGTTCATCAAGCGCGAAAATATTTTTAGGGTATTTCCAGGCTTAATAATGTGCTATACACAATTGATGATAATTCATTTCTATGAAGTATGGGTATTTCAACACAATATTCTCCGCTTGAAGGATCGCCATTACGACATTGAGCTATAAAAAAGAAACATAAATTCAAAATCAAATCATTTGATCTATGTGACAAACGTTCGGTTCGAGCCTTTCACAATATGCAAGATCTCAAAGTGAACGGAAAGTCGCCTATTGCAAGAGCTAAAAATTAAAAACCATCCACATTTTCACAAGATAACATACAGTACCATTCAATATTGTACCACTTAGTATCATCATAGAGGTATAAACCTCCATGGTATCATACAATGAAAGATCAGAATGTTTGGTACATTCTAACAATCTGTACTTGTTGTTTATTTGTTGTGATTAGTTCCCTGGCACAGGCTCAGGCGCAATGTAAACACAGGAGATAATCTGCGCATTCTCACAAAAACAGATTAACATGTGTTTGGATTTGGCTTTTCATACCAGTTGTCAAAAGGTTTTAAACAGCGGTTGTACATGTGTAAGCACATAGCCAACCCTGTCCAATGCATGGTCCAGTGCTATGCGTCTATCATTAATACAAATATGCACATCACACAACCAAGAGGTAATAGCAATACAGAGTAACACAGGTAATAAAAATCAGCTACACATATATATCGGTACTACTACTTTTTAGTTTTTGTTATATATATATATTTATTGCTAACAACTGATGGAAATGTTTGATTTCTAAAAATGCAATAAAATATTACTACAGTAAAATACTTTATTTTAGCTGGAATTAATTTTCACTGAAAAGATTTTTTGGGTGTTTTGTGTGGAATTTATATTTTCACTGATTTATGACGAGTTGAATGTAAACTATAAGAAAAAAGGTATATCTCCTGTATTTATTTTCACTGAAACATTCATTCAGTGAAAATAGCACAAATTAATTCTAAGCGAAAATAAAGTAATTTACAGTATTACATGTTATTTAAAATTCTGTTACAATTGTGAATTTTGTACATAGCTAGGTGATGTTGAGAATAACCCAGGTTTCCAACAGTAGTGCACTTACGTAAAGAACAGAGTTGTGTATGTGATCAAATCCTATATACAATAAATGTAATGTAATGTTTGGTTTATTAGAGATCCGCTTCTGAACACATCAAATATTGTATGCATACTATTTTTACACAACTGTCTATTCAAGGCCTCAGCAATGAAACTAAGTATAACACATGCAGAATTTTCCTGGCACATGCAAAATACACATTATGACACAAACCAGACCTCTCATCATACATGTAAAACTATAGGACTGGATTAGGATTACATAACATTTGTTGTACTGGTAGGTGTCAAGCTGTAGCCCTAAGCTGAGATTAGCTGGAGATCCAATTAATCATTTCAGTAAATATTGATGAGATTCTATTCCCATGTCCTTGATAAAATTATAAAAGCTGTCTCACTGTATTTCAATCCAAAGAGTCTAGTATTTCAGTAGGGTCCCTAAGAACCAAGACCCAGAAAAATAAATGTGTTGATGTCACCTGACAGTAACTGTAGACCAGAAAAAGATTATTTAGGTCTATACTGGAATATATATTAAGAAAATGCTACTGTGAAATCTGTATCAGAAACCGAGGCTTCTATTAAAATGATACAATGTAACAGAGGGGATGCAGCTTCTATTAGAGCATCTACACATACGAGAAATGAGGAATTTTTGGTTCTCAATTATTCAAAAATAATGGGTGCGACTTCGGATACGGATACGGAGACGGCTTATTTTACAGTACTTTAAAACAAACAACTACATGTAATTTGTTGACTTTAGAAATCAATGAATTTTTAACATTCCATAGGTGATGTTTTAAAAGGCGGTGGTCATTTGTGTGCAAGTCATAGCAACAGTCCCTCTATAGACTGGTCTGGAAACAGCCATTTTTTTTGAAATGTGAATTGCTTCTTGCTTGCGAAAAATGCTTGGAATATTTATCTCAAAGTGTGTGACAGTTGCTTCATAGACTTGCATACAATGTAGTGAACGCAATGGATCTGTTATTACCAGCAAAATCTCTAAATCAATGTTTTGAACAGCTTGTTTAATGGTTTAATGGTAGATGGGCTAATTCAAGCTAAATGCAGATTTTCTTATTTGGAAATATTCGTCAATTCCTTCACTGTCCACAATTATTTTTTGTGTGCACATTTTAGCAAAAATTGCACAAAAATAACAAGAAATTGCATTTTGTTGTGAGTTATCAGTTTAAGTATAGCCAATTGAAAACTACAGTCATTAAAACAAGCCACTTGTTGGTCATTTTTAATTTCATCTAATGTATATAAATACGGAGTTTGACCAAAATCTCTCCATACTCTACCAATATTTTGATGAATTTTTACATTTTCACCAGCAGTTCTCTCTTTTCACCACAAATTGGGACAAAAATAGCAAAACATTTTGAGTATAAACTGAAAATTGACTCAAAATTTGACCAGTGGCTCCAAAATTAGGATTCATTCCCAGAAATATTGAAGAATACAAGAAAAA